TCTCAGCAAGTTAGGCGTAGAAGTATATAACTACAACTCAGTAAGTACGGCGTAGAAGTACATAACTACAACTCAGTAAGTACGGCGTAGAAGTACATAACTACAACTGAGTAAGTAAGGCGTAGAAGTATATAACTACAACTCAGTATGTAAGGCGTAGAAGTATATAACTACAACTCAGTAAGTAAGGCGTAGAAGTATATAACTACAACTCACTAAGTAAGGCGTAGAGGGTCTGCCGTAGTGCTAGTGCACGTACCCCATGTCGCATGGTGATGCATGTGGGTCAGATGGAGATTGGGTGTGTTGGGTGGATGTGTTGTTATTGCGGTGCTGATGTGGTCCTGCCACTCTAGTGCCAGTGGTGGCTGCGAATAACCACTGGTGTCTTCTTGTTTTCCTGTTGGGCTTTAGACTGCCCGCGCCGAGGTGGGTAGCTACCTACTGATTATACGATGGAGTTTACAGGCCAACTAGCAATCACTTGTGGTTCTCGGGTGATTAATGTTCGCGCTACGTACTTGCTTTGATCCGTCTATCTCACACATTGTCGCCGTGGTTTGTACAGGGCCACGATACCTGGGACACATACAGCAATGCGTATCCCCGCATATACAAGCACACCTCCTTGCCTGTTACCGTATTCGAGGACGTCGAAGGTCCTGCCACCACCACCCGCACGCGGGTGCACTACTCTTCCATGCCAGGCTATATCAGCAGCGTAGACGACTTCTACACCATCAAGGGCTTGGCTAACCTCGTAGTCACGGAGACGAGCATCACAGCGTACGACAAGAGTGTGCTTGTGCAGAACGAGCATACCGTGTTTTCGTGGATCCGAGTGGTGGTCGCGAATGCGCTCAGCAACGACGGGGCGACGTGGGTGGAGCTGTTCTCCAAGTACAACAGCGGTACATACAATAACCAATGGCTGGTAATTGACCTGAGCAAATGGCACGCGTACCAAACCCCGGAGAAAGGCTTCTTCTATCTGGTCGAGCAGACGCCCGTGCGGATCATCACCCAGGATCTCACTCAGAAGGTCGTGCGGGAGGGGTACTTTGCGAGCTACAATCAGCCGTACAGCAAGGACGTGTGGCACATTATGGGCTACGGAGACGCCTCTAAGAAGTCTAAGAAGCCAGAGACCTTCCACTACGATACTTGCCCGCGAGCGGTGGTGTTTGGCAAGCTCTGGGATGTTGTGGTCAACACAACTGATATGGTACGTGGGTCTGATGTGCATGGCTGCGGATGTGTTGGGTCACTACTTATGACTTATGAAGCGGAGTTGGAGGGGGGTGTGTGCACATTTTGGGTGACCATGTACATCTGTTGGGTTTTGGCTTTTAAAGTGTGTTTCTAGTTCCAGCTGTTGAACTGTGTATAATTCGAAATTAGGCTTGGGCGCGTGTGTAAAAGTGTTCTCAGAGTGTGTGAATTTGTGTGTATACTGTCTGTGTATGCATATGCTTAGTGCGAGTTCACTGCGTCGGCTGAGGCCCTATAGTACCCGTGTGCAGAATCAGCCTGTCTTGGTACATACTGAGTGTGCAAGTCTCGTGCTTGTCTCTGTACGCGTGTGTGCATGTGTATATACGGCCAGACCATTGTACGTATTCGGCTGGGCTGGAACCTAGTCGACTCTGTGGGGAACAAAGAAACGTTATAGACACGCTCGTATCGCATTATTCTCCCATTCGCTGCGTGTCTCGTATCGTCTAGCCTGAGCACAGGTATCCCAACAACAAAGCCCTTTCCAATACACGGTCAATGCAACATCACCCAAACCCAAATCTCAGGCGTTTGTCATGGGATGGAATGACCTGGGACGGAAAGTAGTCGACTCTGCGGAACGTCAAGACTCGCCGCTACAATCGTTCGTGTCAGCGGTGTCTGCTGGTGCTCGCTTCTTGGGTCAACTGAGTACCGAACTGCCGGCAAGCGATACCTCATCCCTGACTGCGGCGAATGGTATCTGTGCGAGAGACGATCTAGTAGCGGGTATGTAGTTGATGTAGTGTATCGTACTGGAATGGTATGTGCTATGCTATACTATGCGTTCGTCTCTTTGTACTTATCCGAGGTGAGCTCGGTTATAGACTTTAATAAATAGGTGCGGGGAGTGGTGGGTGCGTTGAGGCGTGCCTGTCCAGCCAAAGAGTGCAGACACGCTCCCTTCAATGGGATGGTACCCATTTACACCTCTCGACAAGTGGTCGTATGAGGACCATGTATATACTATTTGCCTTAAACGTGCGGTCAGTGTAGGTATCATTGACACGCCTGTGTAGGCAAACGTGGCATCCTTCATAGTTACCAGCGAGCATAGAGTGCGATGTAGAGGTGCGTGTTCGATATTGCTGCTTACATGCGAGTGTGCAGTGTTTTCCTGATACTTATCGAACCGCATATTTCCTCATCCGTACGAATTTATAAGGGTTCAACCCCGCACCACATCCTCGCACGCCACTATATATAGTACTCATCAATCCACCCACTCTCCATTCAGGCAAAGAACGCCGAGCATACGGGGGCATCGACGCCAAAATCGCTTCTTATACATCTCTGATGGACTACACCGTTCCGCTGGCCTGGGCACGTGCCGGGCCCACAGACGACGAGAAGCCGTCGTACTGTTGGGTGGAAGGAGATGATATTAGTCTTAAAACGCCTCACTACGGCCACCCAGAGTGCTACATGTGGGATTGGCAGTTGATGTACGGTGGTCTGCGCTGAGTGTATAACTGACGAATGACGGCAGTATATGCTAGTTGGACCTCCCACCAGGGCTTGGGGGTGGTATTTACACCGTATTAGTACTCTCGCCGTGTGTGGAGTTTTGAAGGGTTGATATCGTGCCCTAGGCTACATATGTTTCACCTTCCGGGTGTTTTAATTATTAGTTAGAATTTGCCTAAAAGCAATTAAAAGAGTATGAGTTTCGCCTACAAGGAGGGACTTCTGCAACCCCGATGTGTGGATTTTAATACTTTTCTATTCCTATCTACACCTCGTGCGAGCGGCTCAAAAACTTTTGGTTACAGAACGTATAGGATCATTTAGTACTACGACTCGGACAGCTATTAGCTGGATCGAGCCGTTTTTTGGATTTTAAGAGACGGTTGATCATTGCCGCGGCTCACAATGCGAAACAAGCGAGGTTCACGTTGCAAGTGCACTAATTGATGATAGACTGGTACGTTGTGAGTATCTATTAAAGTACATACTTAATCAGTCGAGTCTTGTGTCTTATCGTCGAATGCTGTTGACTCGTAGAGTACATAATAGTGCCAAAACAGTACCGAACAGGTGAGATCAGATGAGAGATTAGAACCTTGTTTCATTGCTCTCGACACTGTCGTGTTTGTTACTTTGATCAATGTATAAGCCATTACCCACCTCCAATAGAACATTTGGAGTGTATTCTTGTGGTTCGAATCAATAGGACAATCAATGGGAAGATGCGATGTTCGCGAGGAACTGTACAAGCGTGCCAAGTGTGCGGGTACGCTATGGTCGTAACGAAGCGTGTTGTGCGGGTACGCTATGGTCGGGACGAATCTATATCACGTCTGGATATTACCGTTTTATTTGTTACGCGAGTGTTTGTTCCAGCCTGTTACCGTACGGTTACGATTTCTTTTCATGAATTGTTGATTCATGTTGCTGCTACAATAGTTGTGGGTTGTAAACTTCTTTCGAGTGCTTTCACATTACTAGGGGCAGGTTTAGAGCATGTGATTGATCACTATGAGCACATTATGTGTAGTACATGTTCACACAGGTAGCTTCAAAAACATGTTTGTGTGAACATATAGACCCGTCAGAACAAAGGGTTTAGGGTTTAGCCAAAACCCTAAAACCCTAGCTCCAGTTTATGTGGTTTTATTATAATCTGGGGGCGCAGCCAATGCGATGCTTCGGATGGTCATGTGTCTGCCGCCTAATCTTCAATCCGTTGTTGCTGTTGAGACTTGAGGACACTTGCTCGAAGGCCTCTCTTTGGAATAAACAGACCTGATGACTCAACATAAGTATGTATGTCTGTCTGAGGTCTTATATTTTTTAATGACTCAATCTAATACTGATTTCTAGTGCTAGTAGTAATAGTGGTTGTGTTCTGGTGTATGTTTACTTGTAAAGAGATTTCTGTGTTAGTTACATAGCGTGATCCGTCAGGATCACACGGCCGTTGTTGTGTACGAGAGTTTGGGTTAGTTCAAGGGGAGGCTGACGTCACTCTCCAACGACTCGAATTAAAAGTGAAGGTTTAATATGCACCGACTATAGCATCCATCACAGTAGCATTTACCTACTATAGTAGACATCACAGTAACACTCACCTACTATACACCTACTATAGTAGCCATCACAGTAACATTTACCTACTATAGTAGTCATCACAGTAACACTCACCTATAGTAATAATCACAGTAACACTCACCTTCTATAGTAGCCATCACAGTAACACTCACCTTTTAAAACAGAGATTCGGGAGAGCACGACGTTGCCGTAGAGCCTATGGGATCCTCTCGGTCCTACAATATCAGTTGAGCCGCCGCTGTGGGTGGTGATTGATATGAACACACTGGTGCTTTCGACAATGCTCGGCCCATTCTTGGTAGTTATAGTGCTGTACTTCAACGTAATCGGTGCGTTCAAGGTATCCGATAGTCCCCATACTCGCCAGCAGAATCGATATTCGTGAACGTAGTTATCAGGATGCAGCTGGTGGTCGTCACAACCTCTGTCGCTGTGGCGAAAAGTGTTCCATCACCTGTTTTGTCTTGTATCTTGTGTGTTTTCACGATTGGGGACTTGTAAACGCAGTAGATCTGGCCGGCCTGTTCCTATACGGAGGATTCAGAATCCGAAGAATTGGTATAGATACTGCGGAATGCGCCGCCTATGTTATTCATTTCTGGAACGAGCATTGTTATATTGATGTCTAGTTCACTCAACCGCACCCTTTTAACTTGTTGCGACGTGTGATTAAAAAGGATGGCAGGCAGATCGGTCGAAGTAGAACTGAAAGTACCCAATAAAGTTTGCATTCACCTTCGAATTGAAAGGCAGTAGAGAGCAACCGGTATTTGCGTGGTAAATGCAATACTAACACAGCTCAAGCTGCCCAGCACACAGATAAGCTTGTTTATTGTGCGGTCTGTCTTTTGTATTTACAATACCAAAGCTTGGCTTTTTTAACAATACTAGAACTTAGAATTCAAGTTTTAATACGCACTAAAAATCATACTGCCCTGCATCCGTTTTATATCGCGGCCCTGAATCTACAAAATTACGCCTCAACTATTGGGACAAGAACAGTTCATTTCCATAGCCGTCTAGGATTTAAATTAGACACTTCGTATACTAGAAATTCCGATATGACTTTCGCGTTTGTAGAAAGCTGCTGTCCACATCAACAAAATATGTATCTGACCAATCGAGTGAGTATTGGTTTTTACATTGTATTGCCTCGTTGCCCCAGGTCTCAGGAAAAGACTAAAAATCCAAGACAGCACTCGTCTAAATATCTGTGTTCGTTGATTCCAATTTTTTGATCATATCTTCATCCACCGACTTACGAGAGTTACGACTACATACCGTACTGATCTGTGCTGTTGTATAGAAGATTGTTTACTCCAGTCAAATATGATATCGCTATATGTACACTTGTACAAGGATTGTTCTAGATCTGAGAATTGAGATCAGAGAAGTCAAAGTGATCCAATGATTTCTTTTCTCATTTTGTAGTCCTTTCTGATTATGTAGTGAATACTAGATTGAGAAATCTTGATGCCACCACTGTAAGCGCCACCTAAACCGCCACTTACACCATACCATAGTATACTGTAGATATATACAAAATAAAATTGGAAATTTTCCAAGTATTGAGACACGTCTTGTGTTTTAAAACAAAATTTAATCATGTATGTATTTATTGTCCTCGCTCTTTTCAATATACAATCACCACGACTATAGAGTCCTTCTGGCGAAGAAGACTCTTGACTACTTCCCGCGTTACCTGATACCATACGCCAGAGTTAAATGCTTGGTATCGGTTGTAGATCAGCTCAATTGCATAAAATCGTTCAGGGTTATTCCCGGTTTCCTGAGGTACACGGCCATGAACCACAAGTGCTATCAGATTTTTTGCGGTTATTCTAGGGTCTAGATCGAATTGTATCATCACACCGGTTTCACTCTCCACAAGCTGTATATAGTTATCTTAGACATCGCGAGTGAATATAATCGCTCAGTATAGCTCAATACAAACTCGATATAACGCTCAATTTCCGTGGTGTTTACATACGTATAGTGTATTGTACACATGTGTTTACTATAGTGATTACTGTAGCAATGGTGATGTCATGTCAGAATTTTCACGGATGGTGTCAACAATGGTGTAGGTGGCGACTGTAGGTGGCTCTTACAATGGTGGCCAATTTAGGTGGCTCGAACTGTAGGTGGCGGTTTAGGTGGCTCTGACAGTGGTGGCATCAAGATTTCTCGATTTAGTCTCTCGAAAATTAAAAAGGCAAATTTACATACATGTATTATTGGATATTACTTGCATAAAAAATATTTTGTACATATTTTCTATTTTTTTTAGTAAAACTTGTGTTGTCCATGGAGATCGTTTCTAATAAGTAAAAACCAAGGAATCTCAAGTATAAAATCAATGGAGATTGAAGACAGAAAAACATGATTTGGTATCCATGGAGATCGTTTCTAAGTAAAAACCCATGAATCTCAATCTATGGGTTAACTAGAGCAAGAGTTCGGTACGACCTTCTGAAACTTCTTGTTGTATGCGGGATGGTTATTGGGGTCGAAGAATGTAGAGTGGGCAGTTGGCGCCATAGTCATAGATGTAAATACTGAAATTTAGAAGACTACAATCACTTATTACAATGGATCAATAAAATCAGATCCAATCAAAACAAAACTAACAGATTATACGACGATAAACTGATGAAGATTCAAAATTCAAAAGGTATAAGCGAATCATTTCGCAGGCTGATTTTCAAATTTTGACTCTGTCACAAGTGTATTTTAAAAAACGAGTCCACGAGTCCACGGACCACGGTACTCTGCAGTCTGCGGCTCTCTAGTGCTCTGCGCTGTTGCGCAATGGGCGCGTAGCCCGCAGCCTCTTTGTGTTGTATTCCGAATCCCCAGGCGCCCGGGCTCAGGGCCTCAGGCCCTTTATATCATTTCCAAAAAGATGAAGCACCAAAGACAAAGTATTTACACACTTGTGACAAACATCTGGCACACATGTTCCCGCTTCGTTTTGTTTCGAAACAACCCGCGGTTCCACAATAATATCGTCATCCAAAATGGCTCTCAACGAAGTTTCATTTGTCAGCTTCTTACTACTGCGCGAGCGGCATTAACAGTAAAGAGTTGTCAGTGCTTTATTCGTGCACATTCAGGCTTCATCGGCAATATGTATCTATATCGGCCAACATCTGGCATCGCAAGCTTTGACTAAATACGCTAAAAGAGCAAAAACTGCGATACCGCAATCTTTGTACGAGTTAGATAGGATCTCACAAATGCCGGAAAGAGTAATTTTCACATCAGCGCTGGGGACCTCAACCTTCTGCTCCAGTAGTTGGATCTGCTTAAGCCCATCCGGGAGGTGGAGGATGCCTTGGTAGTTAAAAACATGTATCGGAGAAAGTTCAGTTTATGGATTAGACTGTGTGTGAGGTATATATGGCGCATAGATTACTCGACTGCACCGGCTCACCTGTGGTGCATACGACCATGTGCACAAATCTGATCGGTATAAGTAATCATTGCAAGCTGATTATGCAATTTATACTATCATCACATCTAAAATTTACTCTTTTCGGCATATATTAGATCTCAGCTCGTACAACAAATCCGGTATTGCAGCTTTTATTTCTTTGACATTTAAGCTTGCGCTGCCAGATTCTGGCCGATACAGGCACAAGTTTTCGATGGAGCCTGCACGATAAACACCACAAGTATTCCAAATTACGACCGATTTGTAGTGTGACCAGCCGAGGCAAGTTACATCCCACGTTGTACACACAACTTTCATCGGTAAACTCAAGCAGAACTTACTTCGCAAATTGGCTGCACTCGCTTTCGTTGATGTTAGGTTCTGGGAGTTGTGAGAAGTATAGCTTAATCAATCCTGTGAGAACTCGGGAATCTCCACCTCAAAAAACAACATCTTCACATCAGAGTTCTGAGCCAGGAGTTGGATCTGTGTAAGTCAATCCAACAAACAAAACTTATGTTACGCATATATCTTGCTACACCAATGTGCATCTCAGGTAAATGAACTAAGCTAGTTCCTGATAATCAGTACTACGAGCTATGAGGTTCACCCATCCTCTCAATGGGCTGGTACAGCATCACTGTTCTTAGGTCAATAATTGCGGTAGCATCTTGCATTGTATTAAAATAGGGTCATTGATAGCTTCGGTGAGTAGTAGCGCTTCCCTACAATATGTAAGTAGTTGCTGATAGCACATTGGAAGATGCGGATAGCTCCGCAGTCGGAATCTGAGATGTTCAGCCAGCCGAACGAGTGCGATTGGGTTGAGATAATCCGAGAATTACTTTATTTATACTATTTAAATGCTTTGTTATTACCAATTAGAAAACCAGGGTAACCGGCTGCGAAATTGCTGAAATTTCGATTGACCCTTTTTCTTTATCACACACGAAGTCATCTGGGAATAAAAAGGAGGAGAGTTTTTTTACAAGGGCAAGTTAAAGTTCGGTACATATATCTTGCGAGCTGAAGTGTATATTCAAAGTCCAAGCACACAATGGCCTCACCAAATGTGCATCTTTGTAGTTAAATAAAAACACTCCTGCGTACTAGTTGTAGAGCCATGAACCGTAGAAAGCCATGCATCACAACGCAACGTAGCCGAGATGGCGATACTCGCCGTGTGATTGGTTTCTGATACAGCGCTAGCGATAACCACCCGTACTCAACTTTCATCCTACAGAGCAGATTGCACCGAAAAATACTCACCATAGACATACACACACAGCACACCCATGAAAAGGTTTGTACATATGCTATATATATATATATATATACTGAAACTCGTTCAACGGGATACTTCTCGAGCGAGTTTACCTTCACCAGTTGGATTGGCGTGGAGCGTTCGTTCATGGCCTTAGTTAAATTTAGTATCTGCCCCCTCATGACTGCCGCTTGGCGCTTGAAGTGGCTTTTGCTGAAACCCGAATCCTGCTTAAATACTTGGTACATTTCTTCGATCAATTCCTCCACATAAACCTGTGTAAAGCGGATATTGTGCCAAATCAGAGTCCACAGACATGATCCATGAAAAGGGTGATCGAATCGTTCGTATGTGTAGGTTGGTATAGGGATTTGTTCTGTGCACGTATTTCTTCGGTGCAAAAATTGTATAGGACTATTCGCACAGAAACACACACGACAAACTCACAGAGAGTTCACACCGCAACACCACATCCTCACCTATGGCCTTCACAACATAAGTCACACTTTGTACTACCCCAACACTCACTAATCACACTCTTCGCAGGACAATTTGACTAGTACACTATACACACAGGAACCAGCACATCACCTATCGCTTGAGACGACATCACACACCTCATCCGTTAGTAGCGGGAGCAGGTAATTACAAATCTCATCTGAGAAGCGCTTCTTCGCTTGCGGAAGCCAAATCCAATGATAGGGATCTGTAGGTGAGGCAATGTACGAGACACAGGAGCGACAGGATTTAGCTGCAGCTACGGTAGCGCAAGCCCTACAGTAGTATACACGCTATGCTGTATGCGTAACAGGATATATTTTTATTTAAGTTCAATGCGTATGAATGCATGTATTTTTACTATCACACCATGCGTGCGTCGAAACTATACTTGCAACCTGCATATATAACATGAAAGTTCAGCTATCAAGATCATACATACACACATGTATACACACACACACATTTATTTTACATATATAAGTATATAAGTATAAATATACACACACACACAGACACACACACACACACACATATATATGTATATATATATACATACATACGTACATGCATACATACATCATACATACACACACACACGCGCACAGACATACACAGAGAGACAGACACAGACACAGACATATATATATATATATATATATACGCATGGACATAAATACTTACAAGTGCGCCACGAGTCCGGGTGCTTAAAGGGGAAGGACAAGCCGTTATCAATCGCAGCCAACTTCACACGGTGGCACTCGGGCAGTTCGGTACTACGCTGTATGTCATGGAGCTCTAACCCACTCCCTTTATTACTCGCACTACTACCAGTATACAAGCTTTGTCCACCAATCCCCTGGCCTAGATTACTACTACCCAGTGGCTCTGGGGCACTGATGCTGGTCTCATGCGCACTCGGACTCCTCCTATGATACGCCACTGGCCCGTTTACGTTGAGTGACCCGCTGAGACTGGACCGTCCCAGCTGGCGGGGGGTGTTGGTAGAGCTGGGCAGGTTACTACCGCTACTATTTGCATTGTTTGGCATCTGTTTGGGCGAGGCTTGTGTGCGTGTGTTGGTGTGGGGGGCGGTGGTGACAGGGGATATGCCGGTGCACAGATCCACTCCTAAGTCACTCTCGGGTGCATTGCTGCCGCTGTCGTTGAGTGTTTTGATGAGCCAGTTGTCGTCGTTGCGGTCTGTGACAGACAGTCGCGCACGCAGGTGCATGGGATGAACAATCTGATGAGAAACTATGCATGTGCATATAAAGATATACCCCGCGGGGAACTACGTGCAAACACATACGCATGCTACCATGTACATCATATAGTAATACACCGTGGTTGATGAGACGTATGAACAATCTGATGAGGAACTATGCACGAGTTTGTAAGGATATACCTCACGGGGAACTACGTGTGAACACATACGCATGTTACCACGCACATTGTATCAACAATACATTGTAGCTGAAGCTGTGATGCGATTCAGTGCGCTAACGTAGCGGTCACTCAAATGATATGTCTTGGGCATTCGCACGGGCCATCCAAGTGCTACGTGCACCACTCTCTCAGCATGTCAGCCTTCTGGTTAAAACCCTAAACCCTTGCTAAACGTCCGGCCGCCCTACCACGCACAGGGCTTAGGGTTTAGGGTTTACACACACCTGTGTTTCTGGTGATGTAGTCCAACACCACCATCCGCTCAAACAGCATATCAAACTCACGCTTGACCTCGTGGTCTCGGTAGTCGGGTGCGTTGACCCGACCAAAGACCTTCTTGGCGTCCTCATAGCCCGTCACAAACAACTGAAGTGACCCTTTTTTGTATGGAAGGGACTGGTCGCTCTTTAACAGGCGGTACAGCCGTGTGGTGCGTGGGTAGTTGAACACCGGACTCGACAGCTTGACCACCTGATAGGGCGAAGAGGGGAGATGGGTGGATGGTTTATGGTTATTCTACTGGGAGTGTTATGTGGGGAGATGGGTGGATGGTTTATGGTTTATTCCAATGGGAGTGTTATGTGGGGAGAGGGGTGGATGCTTTGTGGTTTATTCCAATGGGATTACTATGTGTGGAGAGGGGTGGATGGTTTATGGTTTATGCCAATGCGAGTGTTATGTGGTTTTCTATGTGCAAAGGTTGTTTGTGGCTATGACGATGTCGCGGGTACCCATGAATGCAATCGCATCTTAGGGTGAGGGAGAGAGGGAGAGAAATAGAGTGATAGATATATAATGAGACTGTCTACATACTTTTTAATCAGGGTTAAACAGTACACACAACATATGCGCAACACACACAACAAACCCAACAACAACGTCACATATGCCACCCAACCTATCACAGCCACACAAAATATGCGCAACACACACAACATACCCAACAACAACGCCACATATACCACCCAACCCATCACAGCCACACAACACACACAGCTTCTTCGCAGCGCCCTGCCTGCACTCTTCGTACATTCATTGCGTGTTTACTCACATGACCACGCACAACCCTAAAACCCTGATCTAAACCAAGTACATGCCACCCACGTGACACAGACGTCACAAGTGTGACTAAAGCAGTCTACCTACCTTCGTCGTAGGTACTATCCTCAGACCCAACTTCTCATCTACGAGCGATGCCCCCGCCTCACTCAGATAGCCTGCCAGCACGCAACAAAGCGCAACAGAGCATAGCCAAGTGTTGCAATACAGAAGAGTGAACACGCAGAGAGGTGAGGAATAGATATACTAACGTGACACACACTAAACGAAACAAGACACGAACAACATGCTAAACTACAACATACTAAACTAAAAAGACACTAACAACATGCTATACTAAAGAGACACAAAGAGCAGCAACACTTGAGAAAGCAGGACAGAACAATAGGGACACTACAAAGGAAAACACGGTACGACGACCATGTACATGCGGAATAAAGTTCCGACAGCGGAGAGATTGGGCCTGAATATGTGGACCGCTAGAGTACACATGTGCTGCACGTGTAAAGTCTACAAAGACCGTATAGCCCACTGACGTGCACCTAAACCCTAAAAAGGATACCCCAATGGTGCATCACCCGCACACCTTGGTTGGGTACCAGGCACGACCGTCCAAATATACAGGGGCAGATGGTCTTATGAAGCCATTTGGTCCACTTTGGGTTGAGATGGCCATACGGCTCCTCGTCTTTGGGCTTAAATACACCCGTTATTTTGGCCTCAGGGTTCCGCACAAAATAGGATCCGCTTGAGCCTTGGCGGATGAGTGTGGGGTGGATGCCCATGGAGATCGCATCCTCGATGTCGTGTATTACCTACCAGTGTGGTTGGCATGGTAACGCAAATTGTAAAGAGAGAGTATGGAGGAAGTGGACGTGTCCGTGCGCACGCACAGATTTGCAGAAGGGGTTCATCCGAGAATTCAATTGCAAATATAGGACAGGTTTAAGCTAATTTTATATACAACATGCTTATAAGAGAGTCTGCCCAGTTTAGTACAGCCAGTGCCAATCAGCGCCTGTACACTAATTGGTGTCAGGTGAGACTGACCGCTGTGAAGTCAAAACATGCATTTGTTGGATGTGAATTTAAATATATACACTCAGAGGTATATAGACGAACAGACATTAAACTATAATCTACAGAGGGTACGTATGCAACTTTAGAACTAGACGGAAACGTACAAGATATGAATATTTATAAATACAAATCTCATACACAGAGCGCGCATAGGTGTTCAAAATGTAGGTTTACAATACGTAGGCGGTACAGATAATACTTATTTGTCTACCAACGTATCTCTGCAACGCAGCGCATATATGAAATTGGAAAGTGAGTATAAACACGCATATCAATGGATGTTCATGACGAATACGTATATATACATATACATATACACACACATATATATATATATGTGTGTGTGTATGTGTGTGTATGTATATATATATATATATATATATAATAATATATAATTATACTAAACCACACACACACACACACACATATATATACAAATATGTATATATATATATATACTTGTATGTATTCATATATATGTATATATATACATAAGTGTATATATGTATATACTTGTATGTATTC